CCTCTTTGTAGGCATGCAGTTCATGTACTGCTGGGTCCCCTCCCTGCATCTTGTATGTACTCTCAGATCATGATGGTGATCTTCTGTGTATGACTGTGGCCACTCAGACCTAAGGACAGGGCGAGCTTTGCCTCGGGTCTTTGTGCCTCAGTCGGTTCTGACCCTGCTGGTGGCCACCCCGGTTGTGAACACTGAATCTCAGTTGCTGTGACCAAACCTGGGCACCTTCAGTCATTGTTGCAGCCCTGTCTGGGTGGTTGGGGCCTGGTGCCAACCCTAAGTGACAGCCAAGGAGATGAATCAGAGACGAAAGAACCCTGTCTGGGAGCCCACAGATGCTCAGTGCTGAACCAGGATTGGAACTCTTGATTGCTCAGAGCCCTTGGTGGGTGCCTGATCCACTCCATGTCACCTCTAGCTAATCACATAAGGCTCTTGGGGGCCTTAATACCAGATCCAGTGAGCTGGAGGGGACAGAGAGAAAGAGGAGAAAGAAGGCCCTGGGGGTGGGAGCTGGGTGGCGCAGGAGGTGGCCGAGTCCAGCCACACTATTCACTGTGACCTTGAGCAGTTTGCCTCCCAGTTCTGAGCCTCCCTTTCTTCCAGTGTCAAACAAGGACACGGATCTGTGTCCAGCTTTCTTACTCAGCGATGCTGAGGACCAGGCTGGGGTGTGGGAACGGGCCCTGCAGATGGGGGCGGGCGCCTTGTCCCCACAGAGCTCCTGTCCCGGTTGTGCCTCAGCCAGGGCCCACAGCAAAGCCTGCAAGCTGCTGGCATCCGGGCATGGAGCCTGCCTGAACCTCCCTCATGATAGCTTGAGCTTGAGTGATGGGGGCCACAAATGGCCTCTACCCGTGGGATGGGACCTACCACCACTGTGCCTTTTCCCCCACTTGGCCAGTGTGGCTTCAGGCTGCCGGCAGCTTGGGAAGCAGACAGACCTTATCAGAAGCCCCCAGCCACTTGGTCTCGTTTCTGGGAACAGCCCACACTCGGCAGCTTTCTTTCCCAGGGGCTGGTGCCAAGCAGGCTCAGCCTCAGGGGCTGGCAGGACTCCAGCTGTTCTGATGTGTTTCCCTCGGCAACAGCTGGAAGATGGCTTCATCCAGGGCACGAGGAGACCCAGCTGCTGGCCTCTGTCAGCCTGGTCACAGCTGTGAAATGGGTGCAGGGGTGGTGCCCCCCCCCGACCCACAGAACCTTCTGCTGCACATTGTGGGGGACAGCTTGGGGTCTCTATGAAGCTCTTTGGGAGGGAAACCACAGGGCGAACTCCGGCCAGGGTGGGTGTGTGGCTATATGATACATTCTTTCCTGGCACGTGGCAGGCCTTGAGTCTCATCCCCAGCACTGCCAGCAAAACAGACACCCGCACAAGGATGAGACAACAGAAGTACAGCAGGGTTCAGGCCCTGCCGGGTCACTCAGTGCTTCTGGGTGAGCTGGATTTGAACCCAGGCAGGGGAGCTCCCAAGCGTGGGGTGGAGAGTCCTGGTGCTCCCATCTCCCTATCTCTGTCCAGGGATCGCTTTGCCCCACAGGAGGGGACTCTACTTACAGAGGCAGGGCAGGCCAGCTCTGTGTAGGTGCCCCTCACAGATGCCAGACAGGGCTGTGCGGCCAGGGTGCCTAAGAAGTGCTCAGGTGCCAGGCAGGGGGCCTAGGTGGGGCCGGTGGGTTGTATGAGGCTGCATACAAGTGATTCGAGATCTGTGTGCTGGGTGGCTGGGTGGCCCGGGGTGGGAGGGCCTGAGCCCTTCTGTGATGTGCGGAGCCGTCTGTGGACAGCAGAGGTGGAGAGTGAGAGACGTCATCCTGCGCGCCCGGCCACTGTTTGGGGAAGCTTCTCTGACAAAACCATGCACTAACAGGTCCTCTCACTGGCTGCGACAGGGCAGCTTCTTAGAGAGGTGCTCCTCACTTTGCACCTGGCCCCAGCTGAGCTTCTCACTGTCCCTGTTCTTGTCCCCACTGACCCTCCTCTGGGCCTTGGCTCTGGGTGTTTCCCCGTCAGGTCCCCTTAGAGCCCAGCTTTGAGGACATGATGTCCCCCTGCCCTGAGCCCCTCAGTCCCAGGACATGAGGCAGTAAGGAACAGAAGAGAGCATGGTGGGAGGGGACTCCATGGCTCCTCCAGTCCCCCTGGGCCTGAGATCCTGGAGGGCCAGTCTACAACTCATTTGGGTCTTGGGTTCTCAGGATGTCTACAGTTACACTGATAAAAGGGGGAGCGCAGGGGCCAAGGGCCAGGGCCATGTGTTTGCCTGGGAGAGCTCTGGGCTCCGGGTTCCCTTTCCCTCAGCCACATAGTAGCAGAATCCAAGAGCTGCTCTGCACTCTTAGATAATAGTGTCGCTGGGGTGCTCCATGGGCTGCTTCCAAGAACATGACAGCTCAGAGGAGGGACTGGGTGTGATGGTGAGATTTTGGGTGTGGTGGCAGACTGATACAGTTCTCTGCCTGACACAGTCTTGCCATGGTGGGGTGTGACCGTCTGCTTGTGGCTCCCACTAGACCCGCTTGTTTCTTTCTTGCCCCTGTTCAGAGAAGCATGGCCCTCCTCCTTTGCTCTGGGTCATGGGAGTGGTGACATTTTAGAATACCGTTAATAGCTGACATTTATGGAGCACAGGTGGGCGTTCTGCTGAGCACTTGCATGAGCTATCTAATGCTCATCTGCCACCAGCTTTGCTGGCATGACCCAGGGACCACCCTGCCCCATTTTGCCAGGGAAGCTCATTTGTCTCTGTGTCTGGCTCGTCTCCAGAGGCATGGATTTGCCAGGGCAGGACCAGGCCTCATTCGGGTCGGCAAACCCCTCAGGCCCAGTGGGCAGTGGATGCCTCATACCCATGGGCCAGTGTAGGGGCAAACGACTGACTCTCCAGGACTTAACAAGTGTTCCACTGGGATCGTCTTAAATGGGAGAGCTGGATTCCATGTGGCCTGTGCATGTGTGTCACTAGGGCACGGAGAGGGGAAACTCGGGGGTGGGCTGTGGATTGCACTGCTTTGGAGTTTCCCAGTGTGGTGGCCTGGGGGACAGGACCTAGGATGCTATCTGATAGGGCTGCGGTGAGGAAGAAAGGAGCGTCAGGCATAAAGCTCCCAGAATGTACCTGCCCATGCTAGCACCGTGTAATGTTACTATGATTAGCAAATAGTCAGGGGTGGAGGGAGAAAGACAGAAAATACACTGGTAACAGCACTCGGCCATGGGCCTGGCAGGGCAGGAACAGGTTGCTGCGGTTTAGGCCTAGAACGCCCACAGAGGTGGGGCTCGCGGCAAGTGTTAGGTCATGATGGCAGTGTGCGTGTCTGTGAAGAGCTCAGAGCTGAGTACGCTGTTACAAGGTGGAGTCTTGTTGGAAAAAATGGGTCAATGTGGTGTGACCTGGAAGCGTGTGGCTCTCTCCCGGATCCTCACTTGGTGCTCTGCCTCCTGGCTTCCTGCCATCCTGCCACGAGCCCCTCCTTGCCTCACCCCCACCAGCACCCGGTCATGTATTCTGATCTGCTGGTTCTGTCTTGGAACCGGCCGACCACAGACTGAATCCACCGTGACCGTGAGCCTCAGTAAACCTCCTTTCCTTTGAGGGTGGAAAGTTAGGTGGTTTGTTCCCGGGATGGGAACATGTCTACAGCACAGGCACCCCCTCCCGCTCTGCCTCGCAGCTCTCAGCAGCTGCCGCAGCCCTGTGTGGCTAGGAGCAGCACACCTGGTTTCTGGGAGCACAGTGTGCGTTACTTGAAGGTTATGTGATGTGGTGGCCTCTGAAGGAGACCTGTGCCTGCGAGGGCAGTGCCGTGGGGTGCCACAGAGCGCACTGAGCCACCTGAGCGAGGAGGGACAGTGCCCTCAGCCAAGCATGGTGCAGGATAGCTGCCTGGGTGCCTTCTCCCCACCCCGCTGAAGTCCCGCACTCTGGCTTCCCCAGCAACTTGGACCAGCTTTCAGGGAAGGCAAGACAGGGGAAGAGCGGTCACACGGGCCAGGTTATCAACTGCATCTCCCAGGGAAAAATATGAAGTGGCTGGATGTGTGTGGGATGGATTGGACTAGAACTTCTGCTCTCGTGCACAATGGGGCTCAAGAAGGAGTTGAAGTTTGATGGGAGGAAAACAAAATTATATGTTTTGTGTCTACACCAATGGTGCTTATGGAAATCTCGTCACTGTTTTCCTTCCTGTATATGTAGGCAGGCTTCACTGAACAATGGGAGTGCAGTGGGAGAAATGTATGTTAAGGGTTTTTGTTGTGTGGATACCCCACAATGCACCCACAAATGGCAGTGGTGATGACGTTCCAAGGTGACACGGAGACTTAGGAGGCCACTGTCCCATATGCAGGCCATAAACGACTGAAACGTCATTATGTTACACGTGACTATGATGTCAAAAGATACTGAGGTGTGTGTGTGTGTGTGTTTATATAAACAAAATCAACTAAAACTTCTTAGATATCTCAAGGTGAAGAGATTATGGACCATTTTTATTTTCCTTAATATACTCCTCTGCTATACATTTCTAATTTTCTAAAGTAAACATGTACTACTTTTATGATTAGAAACACATAGGTAGGGGCTGGGTGTCTACCCTGTTCTTGTATCAGCTAGACTGGGCCAGTCAGTGGTGTGTGCTGGGTCCTGGGAAGACCCCAGGCCAGAGTCTGTGTTCCCAGAGAGGCCGCTCTTGCCTGAGCGCATGCATCCAGGACCCCATGAGCCCTTTAAGCCCGGCCTCTAATCCAGCAGTGCGGGGACAGTGATTTCTGCTTTGCAGATTGGTGGCTGGGGTCTCAGGGATGAGAATAACTTCCTGAGGCCCACCCCATCGCGGAGCAGCAAGGCCAGGCTGGAGCCCAGGCCCTTGCACTCCCCCTCAGCGTTGCTCGCCCTGAGGTTCCTCTGGCATCAGCTCACCCGGTTGTCACCTCTGGTGGACAGCAGGAAGAGGCTCTGAGACATTCTCCTCTCATATGTCCTCATACTTGGCAGGGATTTATGGCTTAGAGGAAGAAACAGCTTGGGGGCTTCTGCACCTTGTCCAAGGTCCCGCAGAGCAGAGCAGAGCAGAGCAGAGCAGAGTTGGAATTGGAATTCTGGTGCTCGGTGCCAGCATCGGAAGCTACTCAGGAAAGAGCCACGAGGTGCGGACGAGGGCAAAGAAATGAGGAGACAGGTGGGAGGCTACAGGTGAGGCCTACACCCGAGAGCACAGTGTTGGCGCGTGAGCACGCGTGGGTATCAGGATGGGTGGGAATGGCCCTGGGATGGAGGCAGCAGGGGGGTGACAGTTGGAAAAGGGGCAGAGGGAAGGAGAAAAGAGGCAGATGGGAAACAGTCCACGAAAGCCAAAATCTTCAAGTCAGACAAATGTTTATTTTATATAGTGTTGATAACAGGAACAAATGCTGATGGAAACTCACAAATAGCACGGCTGGTGCCAGCTCTGCAGGCCCAGTGGAAGTGCTAGGACGTGTCTCCCTCCCAGCAGGGCAGGCCCTGCTCCAGAAGTGGGGGCCCTGAGGCTGGAGCTTCGGGGAAACATCGCCAGCAGGCTGTGCCACCACTCAGGGCCTCAGGAGTGGATTCAGTCTCTGGAACTGACGCTGTCTTCCTTGCTGGGTCCACCTGCAGAAAGCATGGGGAAGGCTTCCCTTATGGCCAACGGTGAGCAGCGGGCCCTGTGTCTGCCCTCCTGGGAGGTGCCAGTAGGGAGCATCTGGCATCACTAGTGACCATTAGGAGACAAAACATAGGAAAACGCAGTTTCTAAGATGGGCATAGAAACAGAATATTAGTACATCAGAAAGGAGAGAAACAGGTCAAGGGAGGCCCGGAGCTGCCCCATTGTCCTGGCAAGAGTTTCTAGGCTGCAGCACAGGTAAAGAAACCCCAAATGTAGCCTGAAGGTAGAGCACAGGGAGACCCCTGCAATGGTGAGAGGAAGCCAGGTATGCGAAGTGCAGGGAGCCCAGGACGGAACGTGGAGTAGGGGTTGGGTGGAAAGCCCAGCAGAGGGCTGCAGAGAATGCCCATCAAGTATGGAGCAGAGCTTGTGGGACAGGGAACAAAGCCACCTGAAAGTCATGGAGATCACAGAGCGTGGAATGTGCACGTGGGTGGGAACAGCTCCTGTTCTCAGCAGGCAGTGTGGCAAACGTTTGTCCCCTGGAGCGCACCAACCAGCCTAATCTATACTCAGATGTTTGTTTGCCATTCTAGGAAAAATCCCATCCCCTGCTAGTTATGTTCTTTTGTCTGACTCAAATCCAAACTCAACCTTTTCTTTTGATGTGGGTTAGAGTTTGGGGACTGAACCCTGGTCCTCTGGTCCTCATGCATCTAGCTAAGCATGCGTGCTACCGGTGAGCTGCAGCCCCAGCCCCAGCCCTCTCTTTTGGGTAGGTGTCATGGCTTTAGTAGAACAGCCTTCCCCAGCCCCTTTGATTTCTCGTGCTTTAGCCTCGTTGAAAGATGTGAGTCTATGGTCCCCTGGGACATCGCCCATTGGGATTTGGTTGACTTCATTCCTGTGGTGACATCCACCTGGTTCCTCCATCCTTGGTATTTCCTTATACTCAAGATCCGATCTAAATTTTATATTCAGATTCAGTTCTTTTGGTAAGAATCCATCCTCGGTGGTGCTGCTTGTGTCTTAATAGGTAATAACACTTCGAAATAACACTTCGCCATTGATCAATTATCTGTATTGGTCACAGATTGCAGCTGCTGGTGACGTAGCATCCTGGCACCCCCACTATATTTTCATCTTGGATGGTGCTCATAGATGGACAACCTTGAATCTATTCATTTCTCCAAATTCAATCCTTAAAAAAAAAAAAATCTAACCTTAGTTTTTATAACAAAGAATGGTGATACATGGATATCACAAATCAAACCACGGAGTTACCCCAACACCAAAGGACTTTATGTGCCCATGGGGTCTACAAGGTAGGGTTACCTTGTCTCTGTTTGCCTGGGACTGAGGGTTTTTGCAGGGTTGGCAGTGGGAAGGCCCTAGGAAAACTCAGATTCTATGGCAAATTGCAGACTTGTATGTTCTGGGATTCTAAATAAGGAATTCTGTGTCAAAATTGTTGAGCTTTTGGTGTGGTCTAGAATGAGCCTTTTTTATACCATGTGAATAAGTGAGGGTTGTCTTCAATTTCTAGTGATGGGGCCCCCAGTCCTACTCCTACGATGCCCCATTCCACTGGTCAACAAGTTTGACCATTAGAAATTTTGGCCTTCTGGAAACCCAGCCCACAGAGCTAGGGGTAGGATGCCAGTCAGCCAGGGAGACCATAGCAGCCCATGCCAGCTGGTTTCTAAGTGAACATTCTCAGTTTGTCCTTGCTGTGACACCATGGCCTCTTTGTTTCCTCTCTATAGTCCTTAGGCCACAGCCCGAGGGTTGGCATTGGAGGGGTTCTGTCACCTCTGCAGAGGAGGGACCTGCTCCTCCCTGCCCTCTGGACTCTAGCTTTGCCAGTCTGGTAAGGCCCCTTCCCTGGCTCCTAGCTTATCCCTCTATGCCAGCTGTCCCTCCATGCTTGGGAGAGGGGTGCTCTTGAGAGGCAGATCCTGTACCCCTATGTGCTCTCAAGTGGCAGAGAGGGGCAGGGCCACCCAGCTCCTTCCATAAGACAGAGCTGGCTGCTCTGGCCCCCATGACAGAATGCCAAAGTAGAGCCAAGAAAGTGACTTCAGGGTGACTCAGGTCCTCTCCTTTCCTGTGGCTGCCCCGCAGCCCCTCCCATCCAGTCTCATGAGTGCTGCCGTCTCTTCGTCTCTTTGGTGCTCTCATACAGCAGGAGGTCAGGCCTGCTGGGCTCGGCTGCCCTTCCGGCACCAGCAGGCCATTGTCTTTGGACTGGCTGGCTCCATCACGATGTCATTTCTGTCTGACCCCCGGTTGGTGCTATTCTTTCTTTTGCCTTCATCCAGGGTTCCCAGCAGAGCCCCTCGACGTGTCCCTGCTTCCAGCCTGTCTCCAGTCCGGCCCGGAGGATGTCACCTTCCTGAAATGACTCTCTTATCCTGACTCGCCACCTTCCACACCCCACTCCCAAGACATCTCCTGAGAGCCTTGTTCTCTGGCCTCCACCGACCTGCCGGATTCCCTCCCTCCATGCTTCCTTCTTCCATTTTCAGAGAGACTCATCGGACAGATGCTACTGGGCTGGGGAGATAGCTCTGTGGTCTAAGCACCTGCCTGGCAAGCACAACGACCCGGGTTCCATCCCCGGTCCCGCATGCTAAGCTGGCCCCCCACTGTGCCAGCCACTGAAACCTGGGTGGTGGGGCACGCCTGTAATCCTAGCGCTGGGGAGGCTGAGACAGGAGGATCACTATGAGCCCAAGCTGCACAGTGAGACTCTGTACCGAATCAGTACATCAATAAATCTTTTTAAAAAATAGATATGGCCTGTACCCTCTTCAGTACTAAACGATACCTCTCTCTCGACTGATCTTCTTCTGGAGCGCCTCCTGACTGGCTTTTCCATCCTCACCGACCTCTTCCTCCTTAAACCTTCAGCGCTGGCCATCAGGGTCGTACACACATGGCCCAGTTTCTCCCCCCCTCCCACCTGCCCAGCAGCTTTTCTTCTCATTCCAGAGCCCATCTTGTCTGCAACAGAGACAGGAAGTGCTCGCCAGTCCTCCCGCGTGCCCTCCACAGCTCTAGGCTCCCTTGCTGGATGGCGGGGGCTGGGAGACTAGCTCTAGACCCAGCAGAAGTGGCATGTGTGACTTCCTGGCCAAGGCAGTTAAGAGCTGGCAGGAGGCCTCCTTCACAGCTCCCCTCCCCTGCCGCAGCTGTCATGGGCTCCAGATGGTGCAGGTACAGGGTGACACATCCACTGTCAGCCCGGTGCCCCACGTGACTGCGTCATGGATCGGAACTGCCGCCCCCACCCTACACTGGACAGATAACGGGAGCAAGAAACAAACTGCATCTTATGAGTCTTCCCACATTTGAGGGCTTTTCTTCCCCAGCATGGTTTAATACTAACTGAACATCTCCCTTGTCTGCAGTTGCCTTCTTTCCACCTGGAGCACCTGTGCACAGACTAAGCTCCCAGGGCAGTTGCAGCAATGATAGCTTTCATCGAAGCGACAAATGAAGATCACAGATGTCGACCTTGTAAATGGGATACCTTGTAAGACGTTCTCAGTGGTAGCACAGCCCATGAAAACATGCTCTTGGCCTTGACCTCCTGAGCAGGCTGCCGTACAACCTGGCCTCACCGATAGGACCCCGGGCCATGAGGCACATGCAAAGTCAGCCCTGGGACCCCGTTAGCTGTGTGACTTAGGAATACACCCACTCAAGCCTTGGATTCCTTATCTGCAAAGAGTCCAAGTGCTGTCAGAGCTCCGGGAGACCCAGAGACCCCATCGCTGGCTGTCTAGGAAGATTAACTTGTTCCTGGACAGACGGGATCGCAAGTGGCCAGTATTGTGGTGTGATGCTGCACCGCTCTTCTCAGCTCCTGGATACTTGGAGGAAAGAAGGCCAAACTGTGGCACAGTGGGGAGAGGGCCGTGGAGCTCTGGCCACAGCTGGCCACGTGGCTGACTGTGGCCTTGCCTTGGCTGAAGGCAGGCTGACAAACTAGGGCTCATGCAGTGAGGTGGGCGATCCCTAAGCTCACCAGAATATGAGCTGGTGCTTCCTACTTGGTGTCAGTCCCTTAGTCTGTGGCTATGCTTTTTGTTTTTGTTTTTTTTAACCATCTTATTCCCAGGGTCCTACTCAGCCTGGCTTCGACAAAGCACTGCAAAGGTTATTAGCTTTGCCAGAGGTTGAAGTCCTTGTTGGTGGGGTGTGTCCAAGGAGGCCAGCAGTCACCAGGTAGGGATGCAGAGAAAGGTGTCCAAGGCCAAGAGAGGAAGAGCTAAAAGACCAGCTGGACTTGTCCAGGATGGGGTTTCTCTGCGGCTTGCTGGGCAGGGCTCCTGGGAAGCAGCTCTCAGGCTGTGGATACAGGAAAGGCCATTATTTGCTTCCGTGTTGAGGCGGAAGCCTGCAGCACATATTCTTGACATATGTGGGCCTGGAGCTGTGCTCTGGCCAAGAAGCTGTCACCGAGGCAGTTAGCAGAGGAAACGGTGCAGGCAGCATTCCTGCTGTACTTCAGGGTGCTGTGTGGCTAATGGGGCATGCAGGATGTGAGGCTGAAGGCGAGGAGCTGGGGCTGGCGACCCTGCCAGAGGCTGTTTGGCCCAGCCCCGGAGAAGCGGGCATTAATGCTGCCTGAAGACCGAAGCTACCCGGCCCGGGCACCTGCTGTACACCAGGCACTGGCTTCAGGCCCGGTCGTCTGCAGCCAAAGAAGCTGTCTCTGGTCGGCCTGCCTCCGTGCAAGGCTAACCATCCTGTCTCTAAGGCAGACACAGTAGAGTGTCCACGGGGCCCAGGCGGGGAGCTGAGGACCAGTTGGGACCTCTGTGTGTGGTACTTCTCTGACCTTCGAGGTATGAGGGCAAAGGGGAGTGTCAGTGAGGATGGTTTCATGTGGCCAAGGTCTGGAAACCTTCCTGGCCTTTGGGATCAGGCCAAGTGGCTTTATCCTAGGAAGCAAGTGCCTTGCACGCCCTGTGCAGAGCATGCACGCCTACCGGAGCGCGCGCTGGCAACTCCACCTCCCATTCACACAAGTTTGCACTCACCCACACGAACGCGCAGGTAGGATGTTCACAAGGCACACTCGTGTATGCCCTATCTCGAGCTGACAGGCGTGCCCACGTGACCTCACCTACTTCATCTCCTCAGCCTCCATGGAGTCACCTTTGGACACTGCTGCCACGGGCCCACGTGGCCATATTCACGACACCGAAGTGTTCAGTCACACGCAGAAACCACACACGCGATCATATCCACACAGGCCCTGTCTCTGAGCAAAGCAACTCTGTCTGTTAAAAGAGAAGACAAGAAAGTGAGCCAAGCATTCTCAGCTGCTTTCTACCACTCCTGCCACTCTCAAAGACAATGAGCTGTTTTGTGCAGAATAACAAAAGCCACAGGGGTCCCAGCTTAGGGCCTCTCTGGGCAGGGGCCTAGCAGGCCCAGCCCCATCTGGATTTCATTCATTGCAGGTGGGGTTGCAGTGCCTTTGCAGCTCCATTCACGGCCTGGTCCCTCGGCTGCCACTGCAGGGGTGCAGCAGCCATGTAGCAGTGGGTTCTTCTTAAGGCCAAGTTTATCGCTAGCTGCCACAAAGCCTGTCCCAAGGCGAAGCCTTCTCCTGAAGGCCCAGGTGGTGGAAGTGGCAGTTGTATCCTGAAGGGATATTCAAGGTCACAATGGGGGAGCCGCACAGGCCCTTTCTTGTAAACTCTTCCATCTAATTTCACAAGCAGGGAAACGGAGGCCCAGGAAGGTGAAGGTCCAATGCTCAGCACTGTGACCATCACATCCCAGGTCTTTGGTGATGGTGTGACTGTCACACACTTTTGAATCAGCTCTTGAGGTACCCAGGATCTTGGAACTGTAGGGACCAGATGAAGCCACATGAAATGTGGCAGTGGTAGTGGTCAGGGTACAGATGTGGTGGGAGCTGAACTGCTCCCCTGACCCCAGGGAGGGTGGCCACTTGTCCTCCCCTTGCATCGACGCCTTGGCCAGGAAGTGAGAACTCTGCCCACCCCAAGTCTGGCTGTGCTCACCCGTGTGCACCTGCTCCAGGCACGCATATGCATGTGCACATGCATGCAGACATCCACTCACACTGGAAGCCCTGCCCCCGTGGCTGAGCTTCCTGGCAAAAGCAGGCA